GTATCTGAATCATAGATAGAGGTTTCACCTGTCATTCTGGTTTGTAGGATTTCACCAACTGTCGATGCGATTGATGTTCCTTGAAACACTTTAGTTGGACCACCACCAGTACCACGACTAAAAGTTTTTTCTTCAGCGTATTGCTTTTTAACATTTCTTTTTACATTTTCATATTTATTTTTTAAGATAATGGCTGTGCGAGGGGTTTCTGGCAATTGACAATTAAATTCATTTTGAATTTTTATCCAGGCATCTTTTTCATTCTAAAAAACAAGTGAAATGAATTAGTTATTTACTATTTTATATCTTTACCTAGTGATTTATGTTTAATTTCTTACTTTGCATTTACATTATCTGTTTTCATGCATTCAATTACTCCTTTGTACTTTTTGACTAATGCTATTAGTACATCTATTTCAGAGGCAGTGAAATTTGACGTACGCTTATTAATCTTATTAATGTCAGTGTTCATATTGACGAAGTTATATCACAGAATATAATAGTATAATATAGTATAGACGTATAGTTATATACATACAAGCGAATATTTAAATATTTAAATTGTAACTTTCAATTTAAACATAAACATTTAATTAAAAACAATATTATAATAACTGATATTATTGGTGATAATACAATGTAAACATGAATGAGTACCAACAGTAATGAAAAATAATGAAAATATTGTATTAAAACAATAATATCGTGTTTTGATCAGTGATTAACTAATCATACCCAAATCACCAACCGTACAACACAAGGACATTTAATCGAGGATTAACATTTGATCGCCGATTAGCTAATCAATGTTTAACCACAGAACGGTACAACTGGCCCTTAGTGTTTTAGAATTTAGAGTCACATCTCGTTTAGACATTCATCCGATTACAACTACAGAGTACAGACTACAGAGAATATTCAATACTGAACATTATAATATCTACCGAATCGACATCGAAAGAAAGGTAGGCGCATTACTTTACTACATTAATACTTCAATAATTATTATAAATTAAAATAAAATAACCCCCAAAATATAGTAATATATAAATATTAAATACTCCTAAACATCCGGAATGATCAACAATGACTTCAATACTAATTTAGGTTCACTGTATAAATATTTTTTTGAACTACACAGATATACTAATATTATAGTAGTATAGGTTTTATTTTATCACCCACCTCGCTGTGACCACAATCTACCGCAGTCAATAATTGAGGCAATTATTGCCTATACCTAATAAAATACCTACTATTCATATAACCATAAGTGAGTCTCACGGCAACACCATGCGCCCTGCGGGATGGCTAAAATTTAAAATTAAAATTATAATATAATATGATTTTGCTTCTATAATATTATGCACAGCAAATTATACCCAAAAGGAGTGAATTAATCACAATTCTTCCTTGGCAACGCCGGGTTATTCAGCTAGTTTTTTATAAAACATTAATTATCTTAGATTATGTTGTTTCATTTTAAATACAATATGCCACTTTATAATCCTATGTCTATATAGAACTGTTAAACTTACCTACTATACGTACAACGTGCGTACGTAACATACTATGTAGGTACCTATGTAACGTACCTAATATACATATATTATTATACCATTTATTATATCATTCAATAATATGCTTCTATACAACATTATTAATAAATGTATTCTATCAAAACAAAATAATATCTAAGTACATAAAAGTATTATGGAATAACATCCACTGCCAACTGCGGCGATGAATTATATTTTCAATTAATTCATTATAAAAAAATAATAAAAATACTAATATTATAAAAATAAACACCTAAGTGGCAAAGTGTTAATATATTAATTGTGGTGATACAAAGAATTAAAGTTAATATTTGCAAATATTAATATTATAATATATCTTAATACAAAAAGCTTTGATTTGCTTCATTAAAAATCATTTTATCAAGAGCAAGGATATAATATATTTATAATTTTATAGTTTATAATGAAGAAAGCTCCTAGCTACAGAACTAGGAGAAGAAAAATACAAAATGAACTTGAAGCTTTTGATTATATTAATACTTCAAATATTTTGGAAACAGAAAATCTTGTCCGAAACACAATATCCACTGAAATACCATTAAATTATACTCCTACAGAATTACAAATTTCATCACCTGAAGTGGCTTATAATGCAATGGATACTAATATAGTTGAAAACTTATTTGTAAATAATAAAGAGGAAACCATTAAACAATCCCTAGGTCAGTGGGCTGTGGATTGTAATGTACCACAATCTACTGTTAACAAACTTTTAAATATTTTGAAATTTGAAACTCCCTTAACATTTTTGCCAAAAGATTGTCGTACCCTTTTGAATACAGGTTCATCAAAAATTTTAAACATTAGAGATGTAAAACCTGGTAAATATTATTATTTTGGACTAAAAAACGGTATTATAAAATACTCATCAATTTTACATTTAAGTGAACACATTAAAATTGCTGTTGGAGTGGATGGACTACCAATTAGTAAAAGTAGTTCAGGTCAATTATGGCCAATTTTGGCTTATATTATTCCATATCATGACTGTGTATTTCCAGTAGGAATTTATTATGACTTTCAAAAACCTCTCGATAGCAATGATTTTCTTTTTGATTTCATCAGTGAAATTTTAGAAATAACAACAAATGGTATTACAATTAATAACCAGTTAAAAAAAGTTACACTTGAAGTCATGTGCTGTGATGTTCCTGCAAAAAGTTTTTTATTGCGTGTGAAGGGACATTCAGGGTTCTTCTCGTGTACAAGATGTACACATGAAGGGGAATACATCAATAATAGAGTTTGTTTTCCTTATAATGATATTGGTCATACAAAAAGAAACCACAATGATTATATTTTAAAGAATAATGAAGAGCATCATGTTTCTCCTATAATTTCATGTATTGCGCTGATACCTGATATAAATATTACAAGTTTATTTTCTTTAGACTACATGCACTTGGTTTGTTTGGGTGTCGTGAAAAAATTAATAAATCTTTGGATGAATAATGGCCCTACGAGTGTAAGTTTATCAAGTTGGAAAGTAAAACAATTATCACTCAATCTAGAAAAAATACGAAGCTGTATTACCAATGATTTTGCTCGAAAACCAAGAAGAATTGAAGAGTATCCTCGATTTAAAGCTACAGAATTTAGACAGTTACTCCTGTATACAGGACCCATAGTTTTGAAAAATGTCTTGTCAGATGATTGTTATAAACATTTTATGTCTTTGAACATATCAATGAGAATACTTTTAAGTAACGATCATTCTGAATATTTAAAATATGCTGCTAAATTATTGAATTATTTTGTAAAAACATTTCAACAAATTTATGGTTGCCATTATCTATCGCATAACGTTCATAGCTTATTGCATTTAGTTGATGACTATATTACATATGGACCTCTTGATAACTGCAGCTGTTTTCCGTTCGAGAACTACATGAAATTTTTAAAACGCATGCTTCGAAAACATGAAAAACCATTGGAGCAAATTATTAAACGTTATGGAGAAATTATTATTAATGATAATATTAAATTCAGTAATAGTAAACATAATACATTTACAATTAAGAAGCCAGATAACTTTGTATTAACAACTGGAGGGGAAATAGTTCAAATTATTGACATTTTATCAAATACTTCAACAATTGTAGGCAAGAAATTCAACTCCAAAGAAGATATGTTTGAAAAACCAATAAGCTCTTCTAAACTGGATATATTCATTGTTAAAGATTTATCTGAAAATACTAAAGAATGGTGTATATCGGATATAAAAAAAAAAATAATGATTTTTAATATCAATGAAGTATTGATAGCTGTACCAATATTAAAATAAATTGTATTTAAAAATGCAGTTGTATATAAATAATAAATATTTTAAATTGTAGACATGTATAATAATATTAAATAATTCATAATCAAATTTTAATTTTAATTTTGAAATATTTTATTGGTTATAATATTATAATAGTCACTAATTTAATATAATATACACTTTAAATTAAATTATTTATATTGATGTGTAAACTATTGTTCAAAATTAGCTAAATGTTTTCTTATTACCTATATATATATTACCTTATGTTTGTATTAATTATAAAATGTATTGTTCTTCAAGAATATGTGGAGTGTTGTATGTTTTGCTACTGACAACACAGTAGCTGCTGTACCAAAATTCTGGGTTCGCAGCGCTGTTTGTGCTTGGCCAAAAAAGTATGCCCAAAAATTAATTGAACATCGTGCAAATCCAAATCAATTAGAATACGATTACTTCAAGTGTAAGATTTTGCATTCGAATATAGGTAATTATATTAAGTCTTTTTATAAATAATTTTTAAAAACTACAATAATGTTAATTTACATGTTTGTATAGGTAGTTTGTTGGAAGCTCGGTCCTTGGCACAGGAGAATTCTGGACTGTCATCTAATGATAATTTTAATATCAACACAAAAAAAAGAACCAAAAAACCTGTAACTTACAAGAAAAATGAATTGTTAGACGTTTCAAGTCCTCCAGCTCATAATTTAGAAGGTAATATTAGTCAATTTAATGACATCATTTTTATATAATTATTAAACTAATTCATTATGTAATATACAGGCTGGATGATTAAATACTATGTACATACATATACATAGTATTTAATCTGTGTGTTACTATAGTACTTACTATTCAATAAATTATTACATTTGTCATTTTCATTCATCAATAAATATGAAATAAGTATTACAGTATTAAATTTACTTACAATTTAATATTTATAATGTTGATTTATACATATAAATAAGGTAATGGTAGAATATCATAAAGGAATAAAAGAGTCAATTTCTGTCTAACAACACCTCATAATAATTTTGATTCCTAAAAACTTATAAATAAAAAAATATAACAAATAAATTGAAACGTGTAATAATTTCTGAATTAAAATATTAAATAGAGGTTGCTATATTTTAAAATAATGAATCTATTAGAAAAATGTGGGTAAGTGGATGTCGTTCTGCTGTACAGTAGGTTACAATTTGTCAATGTATAAAGGATTGTATTTAACTTGAAGTCAATGAAATAATATCATTGTATAAGAAAAACGATTCTGAGCGGAGACGGTTTGTCAGTCTGGATATTGTTATTATTTATTTTATCCTGTAAGTTGAATTTATATTATAATAGGTATTATTATTGTTTATTCGTTTCTATCGTGATAAACAAAGCGTTAGAAATTAAAATCCCATTTATAGCGGTTTTTCGAAATTTTTCGGTGGTTTTTCCTGTGGCATTAAATAATTATTGAGAAAATCAAAAAATGACCTTTCTAAAGTACCATATATTGATCCGATTTGCTAAAAGATAAGGTACTATATTATGTAGAAATCGAAGCACTCCTACTGGTAGATATTTTTTATACAGGATCGATATAACACAAAAAATAAAAATAAATAAACACCATTGTAAAACCACTATAGCTTCCTCGATCCGTTTAGAATCTAAAATATCAATTTGTTTAAAATGTTATTAAGTACCTAATATTTTGTTTTTAATTAATAAATTGAAATAATCTTAATTCAAATGAAATGTAAAGTATATACCATTATACAAGTACAAAATATGTAATTAATTGTAATTTTTTAAATTTATATAGGATCTGATGATGGTGATGATTCATATATTATAGACAATAAGACATACACACCAGTACAATTAAATGATTCAGACAATGATGATAATTTATTTGATGATGAGGTTTGTTCAGGTATTGAATCTGGTTTCAAAACACCAGTGAATCTACCAAATAAACCAAAATTTGAAATGGCATCAAATAAAAAATTTAAATTATACAACACCTATATTTCAACAAAAAATTCTGCATCATCGTCTGATGTGTCAGTAGATGAAATATCTATTAATAAAAACCAATTGGTCTCATCTCAGCCTGAACTTGAAAATGATGAAGGTAGTAAAATCATTTCTCTAAACAATTTTTACAATTTTTACAATCATAATTATTTTATTAATATTGTAAGTAACCTACAACTACTTTATTATTATTTCAGCTTTTAAAAAAAACATAAGACGAAGTTTGACCACCCTCAAGTATGATGTACAAAATATACATACACGCATGGATGTTCTAGAAGCTCTGCTTGAGAAGATCGATGGTAAACTTTCAGGATGTTCGAACATCATTACTTCAGATAAAGAAGATATTATTATTATTGATAATGACGATGATTTACATAAGGCAGAAGATAAATTAACTAATGATGCCTCATACCGATCTAATATGGTATGTCATCTAAATAAATAAATATACAATCTTTATACATGTTTATATTTTATTATTTTATAGATCAGAACTTTGTCTCGCTTTTCATGCAATACTTTGGCAGAGACTATGAGGAAAATTATGCAAGTACTATTTAGCGATTCATTTCTAATGAACTACTCTTTTATTGGTTTTAAAGGAAAAAACCAATTTTCTACATTGCAAAGTTGCACTGTTATATTTGGTAAGTTAAAATTAATATTATATTAAATATTCATAAAATATATGTACCTAAAAACTGTTATGAAAATCAACTTTAATAAAACATATACGTATATGTAATGATACACATGTGTAAATGCATGTATAATGTACAAATTATAACTCAACTCTAAATGTAGATATATACTTTTAAAATGTTTAATTTATATTTTTTTAGAAGCAGTACGTACAATTAAAAAGTATTCAGAAGTTCCAAATAATGAAATTGAAAAACCCTTAAAAAATTGGATGGCCCAAGCAGGTCAACGAGAAAAAATAAAAAAGCTTAAAATGAATAATAATTAATTTATGTTTATGATTATTATAAATAAATATTTTAATAATTATTTATATCATGATTTTTTTTTTTAACCATATTATAAAGAAGTCTTAATTTTTCCTATTTTATCTTCTGTTTATACATCTCAAATAACATTTCTTGCATTTTATTTGCATAAATTAAACAATATAATATTAAATAAATTTAATACAATATACAGCACGTTTGTAATAATATATTGGTTAGACGGCTAAAAAATATTTGTGGCATTTGTCTGTTATATGTATTGGGTATCATTAAATATAATATAATATACTACATCATAGATAAATAATTTCAGATATATTTGTTACAAATATTTTGAAAATTCATAAATCAAATATTGTAAAAATATATAGCTACAATATTGTGAAAATATAGGGCTACATTATTGTGAAAATATATATGGAAACGTTTGTGAAAATATACAAATACAATATTGTGAAAATATATTGCTATAATATTGTGAAAACGTTTAATCACCTGCCAAAAAATGTTTCTAAAATATTTTGACAATTTTTTAAAATATTGTAACAATCTAAATCAAATATTTAAATGTGTGCTAACAATATTTCCACAATATTTTGAAAATATAATTTTTCTGTGTGGGTCACCACTCAAACCCGCCGTCCATTGCTCATCCTTGCTATCACCGCCGCCCGATCGCGCACGTACGCGACGTATATTTTACCCACCCCGTCCTTGCTCGTCATATGTATGCATCTCTTAAGAGGCTTATTATTATACCCGTCACTGATCACATATTTCCGCGCATGCGTATATATTATCTAAATATTTCAAAAAATAAATATTGAAAAAGGCCCTGAAGAGATTCGAATTCTCGATCTCCGTCTTACATTCTGGCGCTTTAACCAACTAAGCTACAGAGCCGGTTTACTTTTAGTATGATTCTTAATATATATAGCTGTATGAATATTATTGTACACATCTCGAGTTAATAACTTTATGTATCAAAGACTTATGCTTCAACAAGGAGACTATACATGTACACCCCTTTGTATATTTTATACAGGCAACGACGTGTGTGTCCCGACATACCCTAGTATTGTTAACAATGACATTCTTCAACAACGGTCGTGACTATACCCCTTCGTTTTGTATTAATGTAATATCTTAGAACAGTGGCGGCGTGACAAGGGTTTTATGAGAACCGGGTCTCATGGCGATTTAGGTGGGTGGGTGGTAGTGGGTACTGGGTAGATGTCGTGGTCATGTTTATTACTTTTCTATGGTGTGTAGTGTGTACCTATTATTATAAATGTACTCGACACTCGTAATTCGTAAACTATTTTGAGGGTGGGTGGTCCCTAAAAACTAGTGATGGGCATAATCGAATTATTTCTATAATCGAGTTATTTGTAATCGATATATTGTTATAATCGAGTTATCACTCGAAATTTTCAATTGATATTAGTAATATTAGTTATTACTCGAATAGTAGGTGATTGATATACATATTTTCATAATCGAGTCATCAATCGAAATAATTACGCAAAATATTCAATAAATATGATAACTTGGAATATTATTAGTTTGTTATTAGTAGGTATAGAAATAAAAATGTGCATAAATCATAATCTCATTTTTTATTAATTTTTTTTATTTAAATATTTTAAGCGTCAACCTGGCAAATTATTTTAGACATAAATAATAATAGTTACTAATAAATTTAACAATTGTAATTACTTAAACAAATTTAAATTACTATTTAAAAAAATTATATAATCTAGATTTTTAGACGATCTGCTCCGACGGTCGTTAGTTATTTGCCCAGTTTTTGAAAATACTCGTTCCGAAGGAACTGATATAGCCGGTATACATAAATACTTCAGTTGCATTTGATATAACTCTGGAAAGGTATTTTTATGCTGCTTCCAGAAATGTAATGGATTTTTTTTCCTATCCAACAGTGGCATTTCTAAATATTGGCGAATAATCAAAGTTGAAGTTGTAGATGGACTCGACGAAGATTGAACTTGTGAAACTTTATTATTAACATCCCAAATAGCAAAAAAAGATTTTATTGACATCAAAATATTATTTATTTGTTAATGATATGATTATATAATTATTAGGATTTCATCACATTCTGATTAAAATGATGTTATTTTAATAATTATATATTGTTGTTTGGCCACTAGTCTGAGGATAGATGAATGATACAATTATATTGTTAATTTATGATTTTTTGTAAAATGTCATATGAACATTTTTTTGATACATTTTAAAAATATTACCCTTCAACCATAAATTAACGTCATTTATTTTAAATTAATTTGTTATTATAAAATAATCATTTATATATTGTTATTTTTCTAACTATTATTTGATGATCCTTATCTTAAATTAATTTGATATTATTTTATAAATTTTTTAAGATTATTATTTTTTAATATAATTCTGATGGTAATTTTAAATTATAATTTATTTTAATATTAATAAATTTGATATTATTTTTGATCTATATGGTTCAATATAGATATCAGTAAAAAATATATCAAATAATTGAATTGCTAGCCAGACCTACGAGTACTATAATATATTATATAACTAATAATATTTAATATTAATAATCATAATAGCTGAGGACTAGAGGATAAGTAATAGAAATATGAACATAATGACAAATATTATATATATTTATTGTATCCATGAAATTACATTACAATATTAAATGTTAAAAAATAAAATTCAAATCATACAATTTGCTTTTAATAATAATAATTAATGAATTTAAAAAAAAAAAAATTGAAAAATCTTTAATGATTACTAATAGGTAAATAGTTATGTCTGGTAATTCCTTTAGGCATGTTCCTAACTTTAATTTTATACATTAAAAAATATTAAAATATATATTTAATTTATGTATTAGCCGAAGCCGATGCATTATCTAATAGATCAGCTTCCTGATTTTGATTATTTTTGCGTGTAGAGTCTCTAAATTTGGCACCAGCTATAAATATTTTTAGAGGATTTTCAACATCTTTAGCATCAAACTTGCTGAATTTTTTCATTTTTTTGATTGCCTCTGTTATCAAATAAAAATTTAATAAAATTATTTACAATAATATATTATAGAGTTCTTTATCTAATTAATAATCAACAGATAATATAATATACGTAAAGAGATGTATAGTAGTATTATATGAGTCTGTGATAAATTTATTATACCTATGATAAAAAACAAAATCATAATATTATATTATAACTAATCAAACTTACCAAATATAATAGAACATGTTGCCAATGTGTAAAAAACTTTCTTATTTCCTATTCCTTTATAGCTATACTCTTCTAGAAGTCTATCTTGGAAAATAATGCGCATAATTGCACGCACAGTGCTTGGTAATGTGTTTCGAGAGTACCGTTTAATTTCTTCAACCTTCAAAAAAATTTTAATTAAACATTTTAATATATTTATGTAGTTAAAAATTAATATAAATTACCATTTTAGCTCTAAATTCTTTATTAAAAAGCTTAATTTCAAAGGTCTGCAAGTTTTCCTCGGTTTCAAGAGGCAAAAGATTATTGAATTCTGTTTGAAATGTATGGTCACAATTTCTTTTACTTTGATCTCCACTCTTGAAATCATTGAAGAGCATGCCTTCTATATTATTAATTTTATCAGCCATCATGTTCAAGTCGTACTTAATATTACAAATTGTTCGGTTCATTTTTTGTAGATAATCTGAAAATTTAATAATATACTGATAATATGTTGACCTATTTGAATAGAAAATTCAAAATTATTATAAAAAGTTACCTAGTACAGAATTATTAACTGCCGAAGAAGTATTTATATCAGATGACTCCTCTATAGATTGGTTCAATGTTACTTTGAAAGGCGACGATGTTGTATGAACTATTTCTGAAGATTTGTGTCCAACCAATTTATTTGAAGATATGACTCTTGTATCTGGACCTAATGAAGAAAAATATACTTATAAGTTATGACTGTATGTATATATAATATATATGTGTGTGTGGATATAACTGTTGTGTGGGTGATCTAAAATTATTTATTACTTTCCAGTTATTATTTCAATTAAAAATATATTTAATACTAGTTAGGAATTTATTTTTATTTATCACAAATAATTATGTTTTTATAAATAATATTATAGATATTATAGATATTGTCATGACAAATTACTCATCGTATTATAATGATCTTTGTACGCTATCATCTATTCAATACTTTAACTAGAACATAGTCTAAACTCTTCAGTCTTCTCTTTATTTAGAACTTATTTATTTTTAATTTTATTTCAGTAGATTTGCAATAATACCATAACTTACCAATATTTTTTAATTTCTTGACACCACTAAACACACTTGGACTCAGAGAACAATGGCGCTCAGGAATATCAAACGCCAAACGTTTTTTTACATTTAAAGATGTGACTGGACAAGAATTTGAAATATTTATCTCCTCTGCAGCAATGATTTTGGTTGGAGTTTCTACAAAATATTTAATCATTTGAAACCATTATATAAAACGATGATATACGAATTATTATTAGTATAATATTAATTCTACTTACCATGACTAATATTTTCTATGTGACGAGGACTATAATTCGGATCTGCATCACTATCATCAATTTCATCATCTAATAATAAATTATAAAACAAAAACAGATATTAAGTCAGTCATGCTTAAAGTGTTAGCAATAATTAAAAGATTTACTTGAAAGATCACAAGATGCAGGACTCCATAACAAAGGATTTTCAGTTTTTTTACCTTTTAATATAATTTTTCTTTTTGTTTTATTGTTGGTACATGTATTTTCAAACTCATTTATTTGAGATGAAGACTCATTGGTGGACAAATCTGACGTGTATAAGGCCTTCATAGCTTTTTGTGAAGCAATACTATAACTTTCTAGAAATAAATACTAATTTTAATAAAAATACACCTTATAGTAATACAGAATAGCATATTATTTCAATATAATACACATACCAATGTCTTTCCCTATTTTACGTGCAGCATGAAAATTAAAATCTAATACATTGGGGTAAACTCTGTTTTGAATCATTTTTTTTATGTTCTTTTTTGGCCAAGCACATTTCTGGTTTTTAAACCAATAATTTGGTACCGCTTCCACAGTTTTTTCATCCACAAATTCTATTATTGACCACATATTTTAAAATATTTTACTGGAATAACAATAATAAAATAGTTAAAAATTGACTATAAGAAGAATATTAATTATATATATTATGTACCTATTTAATTTTATTTAACAACTGATAAAAAGTGACAATCAAGATTGAAGCAAACTGATTTTTAAACAATTATCTTATTTTATTTTCAAAATTAATAAAACACTGATAAAAATTAATAATTGTTGGACTACATATATTATTATAATAAACATTGCTTATATCAAATTATAGTTTAAAAATAATACATATTATACTCCCCACAAGTTACAACTTCAAAAATATTATTTAATTATTTTAACTCTTTTATAATTCTAAATATATAAAATTACTTTTGTACATAAAATTAATAATTATATATTACTTACAAGAAGTATTTAGTAATGGTAAGGCTATAAATTGATCACCAGAAAGAAAAACTATCATTTTATTTTTAATCTCATTAATTGAGTAACAATAAAATTCGTTGCTTAATGTATTCACAGTATAAATATCTAACTCAGAAGATACAATTGGTTTATCAAATAAAATATTGTTGTTTTGAAATTTTTTACAAATTAAATACACTGTGTCATTTTTTTCTTTAACAATATTGAAAACTTTAACCAAAATTTTATTGTTTGTTAGTAGGAAACAGTCAGCTTCTATATTTGTTTTAATTGCAAACTGTTTCATTTTTAATGTGGTGAACTGGTATCCTTGTATATTTTCTGTAAGTGGTCCATTTTTATGAGATCCAGAAAAATGGAAAGCTGCGGTGTTTCATTTTGAAAATGGGGTTTTAACAAATTTATTTCATTACATCTCTTAACCACTTGGATAAGCGGCTTGTCTGGTTTTCTTATCAAATTTTTTAAAGTACTCATGTAGTTTTCAAAAGGAAACGTTGAGCAATTATCCAGTGCACCAAATTTAATATAATCATCGCAAATATGGCTTAATCCATGAACATTATGTGATATGAGATGACATCCATACAGTATTTCAAATTGTTTAATAAAGTTATCTAATAATTTCCTTGCAATATTAATATAATGTCCATAGTCAGGGCTTAATAATATGATCATACCTAAACTTAAGTCAAAAAAGTTTTTCCAATGTTCCTTTGATATGATCGATTTAGTTGCAGAGGAACCCAAATACAATAAAAATGTCCTAAACTCAGTAGCTTTCCAATTTTTTTATTCAAGCTAAGCTTCGAGGTTTTCTATTTATTTCACAAGGTATGTTTTTTCTTAAGCCTACTAGTGTTTTTGATATTTCTTCTATTTTCCAAGATGGATAACAAACAGTCAATGGGAATTTCATCCATAAATAAATAATTTTTCGAACAACGCCTAAGCAAACTAAATGTTGATAATCCATAGAAAAATCAGAAACAACATCAAAATATGGTACAGTAACTAAAATGGAAGTATTTCCAATATGATATTCTTCGTCAGATCGAGAAATATAATTTTGATGTGTTCTCTTAGTGGGTTGATTACCTGATGTGTGTGGAAAAGTTATCCGATTCAATAAATATTTACCTTCATGTTCACACCTTGAGCAAGAAGAGAAACCGGTGTGGCCTTTGGTTTGCAGTAAAAAAGACTTAGCCGGGGCATCACAACATAGAACATCTATTACAACTTTAAATTGTTTTCCATTTATCTTAATACCACTGTTATGTAATTCATTTATGTCGTCTACAAAATATTTAAAAAATGCATTGCTGTCATAAGGTTTTCTATTCCCACAATATATTCCTATTGGAAAGACATTATTACTATTTGGTCGAATATAGGCAAGTATTGGCCAAAATTCTTCTGCCGTTGATTTAAATAATGGTAGACCATCTACACCTGCTACTATTTTAATAACTGAAGTATCATTTTGTAAACTAGATGGAAAATGTTGTTGAATAGCATTAGCTAAACCAAAATGATAATAATTACCAGGTTCTACGATATGAAAATTTGAGGTGTCTAATGCTTGAGTTTTTAAGATTGTTCTAGAATCTTTAGGTAAGTATTCAAAACAGGCATGTTGTCTCAAAACAACAAGTAAACTATTAAGAGCACTCTGTGTTATTTTACAACTGACTGCCCATTCAGCTAATAACGATACAAAAATGGATGTTTTACCATATTTATAATTATTTGATGTACAGTCATTATTGTGTTCATCTGATGAGACTCTCTTTCACTATTACTATTAATACTAATTTCTGATAAATTTTCTAAAGCTTCATTATTTAAATAATCTTGAAGAATTGATTCATTTGAACTTCTTAGTGGAGGTGTAAAATTAACATTTTCATCAGAAATATTAGAAGTAGATACAAATACATTCGAATTTGAGTTTACTCCTGGGACAAAATTGATTTTTGATGAATTGGATTGTGGCATAACATTATGATTAATCATGGGGTCTGAAATAAATGAAGCTATATTTCTGAGTTCATCTTCAACTCTTCTTCTCTTAGTTCGGCTACTTAGATTCGACTGTTTTTTGTACGACATTATACTATAATAGGATTGGTATAAAATTTAATTTTATTAATTAGCTAGGTACCATTGTAATCAATATCATATAATTTAATAAAATAATTTAAATACTAAAGCTACTTATTTATTACAATAAAAATCAAAAGTAGGTTTTTATGTAAACTATACTATTATAATTATTATTAGGTACATAACACAAATCAAAATATTATTTTGATTTGTATTTTCACTAGTTTAAGGATAGTAAATATGATATGAAATAGATGATAGTAAATATGAATAGTAAATCAACTTGATTAAGAATTCAAAATACACAATAATTTATATTATATTCTTGAAAATGTTTGATGGTACTTTAATTCCATCACTTACATTTAATACATTTTATATTAGCGTTGATTTAGTATGTAAATGTTGTAATGATAAGTTGTTAAGTATATTTTCAATGCTACTTATGTGTGAGCATGTCACCAGACATAAATAATTGTACTATGAATTAATAACTAATAAATAAAGTGGGTAATTAACTTGATTAATTAGTTTATCAAAAAAACAAATCATTTTACAATTATTAGGTACATACCTATATAGTTTTATATAGCGGGAAGATTATTTAAAATTTTATAACAATTAGCAATCATAAATAAACAATTTTATTGTAATATAAAAAACATAAATACGATAGGTATGTATAAGTCACTTAAATTATATATACCTATTATAGTTCTGACTAAACTAAAAAATTGATGTACCTACCCATTACCTAAATATTAGTATTGAAGTAAAATGTCTGAAACATTAACTATTATTGTGTTAATGATAATTTGCCCAAATTTATCAATACTAAATAGGTACCTAGTATAAAATGTTTATAATTTTAAAAAATTACTATCAACAATTATTTTGGTATTTTGTAAATTTTTTAGTAATACTATATACCTAATAGGTACCTATCTAATATCAATACTACACAACCTTATTCAACAATGTATCAATGTATTACATAATGCAATTAATATTATATTGGTAAAGCAATAATTGTACATTTTTACCTATAGGCTATAGATACATCAAAATAAACATACTTAACACTATTTTACGTTCTTGTATGATTGAAAAAAATTAATAGGTAAATGTATTAGTTTATTATATAACACCTATATTATAATGATGTATGTACATATAGCATATAATATTTTGGAAATATATTTTAGGATGTAATTAATATAATATGTCAGATCAGAAAATTCTTATTCATTTCAATAAACTATTCTTAAACGTGTAGGTATATTTTAATAATCAGCTTGCTTTAATCGCAAATTACTTAACTTAATAACTATATTAGGTATTATAATAAATACTTAATATTACCATATTTAGAAATAAAAGTAATTAATATATAATATAGAAGCAAGTATATTATCTTACCTGTCGTTAAGTCAAAGTAAAATTAATGGAAAACACAAATCGCAATTATACAGTTTAATCTTCTTTACGATTGTAAATACGTATCTTAAATTAGCAAAACAATGCACTCGGCAGTGTGTATAACTTTAATAATTAACACTTTTTAAAACATAAATCAACACGAATAAACTTTATTAATCTCGACTAGACACACGGACAGAGAGTAACGAGCAATATAAAATAATATACACATGGAAATTGGAAATGACCACAAGACGTATTATTACTCTATGGCACAAGTTCAAATAGACAAAGACGGACAAGACGGACAAGACGGTACAAACTCTTTAATAGGTTATGTTTGCGCTCTCTCGGCGCAACGGGTTCCCTACCACTACCGGGACAGACGACAGAAAAATACGTTTATACCGCGACTTTGGGAAAACCCGTTATCTTTATATATTTAGTTATCCCCTGCTATCTGCACTATACCTATCTGCGAAATTCTTTGTAAATTATTATTCCTCACCAAAATAGAAAAGTACTATATAACGATTTACACAATATGTCACAATAAAGGTGCGATTCCTATGCGCGCGGCTGTAGTCGCGCGACTATAGTCGCGTCGCGGCGCGACCGTTGTTTTCAGCCGCGCGGGTACTTCTTTTTCATATTTTAAATGTAGGTAATTCCTAACACCGCGACTGAGCCGCGCGACCGTAGAGTGCGTCTACAGCCGCGCGGCGATGACCGCTCCTTGAGCAGTCGAGTCGCGGTCGCGCCCTACGAATTATCATTATTTACTATATCATCATTATATAAATTAAACACAAAAATGTCTTCCGAAACTTTGCAAATTTGTTTTTCGCCAGAAGATGATGTAAAGCTTGCTGAACTTGTCAGCAAACATCCATCTTTATTTAATGCAGAACATGAATTGTACAAAGACCAAGTGGTTAGAGAAAATGTATGGAACCAAATATCAAGTGAATTAAAAAAAAATGGTAAGTTATACTATAGTTTATAGTTCACTACATTAAAATAATTTTATATATATAAATTGTAATCTTATGTAGTTATATAAGTATATGATATTTAATTTATACTGAATAATACTTAATGCGATACCCAAGTATTACAATAGGTACAAATATTAGAATTAATTATAGTTTATGTTTTATATAAAGTGTTATGACTTATGATGACTGATAAACTAACTTATTATTATACATCTAAATTAATAAAATACTTTTACGTAATATCCGTTCTTTTCACTTGATAATTTTGCCATTGTACAGCCCCTTCTGGACTATTGAAGAATTTTGTGAGTTCATCCCTTACAAAAAAACCTTCAAAGTTCCCGTATCCTCCAACTCTTGCCAATGGTATCATGTTATTCGTAGGTTGTGGTTCATTTGAGTCATAGTCATAGTAATGTTTTCCCGAATTTTCCAAATAACGATCACGAAGTAGATTGTGTAGACACAAGCATGCTGTTAAAACAAGGTAATCTACTGTCTCTGTTTTTAATGATATCGGGGTATAAAAAACGCGAAAAATTTGACTGAGAAGTCCGAAACTATTTTCCGTTGTCCTCCTGGCACGTGAAAGACGATAATTAAAAACAGTTTTCTCATAATCTTTCCGAGACTCAACTCTTGTGTACGGACGCATCATATTTGATTCCAAACGGAAAGCTTCGTCACCGACATGCACATATGGTAAACTTATATCGGAATTTGGGATTTTCGATGGTGGAGGAAAGTATCCGCCCTTATTTATAAGGTCTGAAATTTTTGATTTATGGAAAATTCCGCTGTCCCCTTCTTTGCCGTAAGATCCAATGTCAACGAAAATAAATTTACAATTCGCGTCGACAATCGCTAATAATACTATTGAAAAAAAATCTTTATAATTGAAGAATAATGAGCCACTCTTTCCAGGTGCGAAGATTCGAATATGTTTGCCGTCTATGGCGCCGACACAATTCGGAAAATTCCACCTTTTCCAAAATTCTTCAGATATTTGTATTAAATCATCTTTTGTTGGCATTTTTAGTAAAATAGGTGTTAGATGAATACTTAAACTTTGCAATACCATTCTTATAATCCGTGTTAAATAACTCTGAGAAATTCGGAAGGCAAAGGCCAACGATCTGAAAGATTCTCCAGTTGCCATGAATCTACATTTAAAAAAAAATAATAAATGTGAATAAATCAAAAGTGTTTAATAATGTGATATTTTCAATTCGTCAGTAACATATTATTATTATACATATAATGGTTTAGTGATGATCGATTTTTTTTCTCCGAAAACACATGAGTTTACCTAGATTTCATTAACTAATAATTTATAGCGAAAATAATAAGAAATTATTTTGTATTCATATTAAATTTGATCAGTATACGAGGAAATGGCGAATTATTAATAATAAGATTCAAAATAAATGGAATTAATATTACGAAGTAACATGGTTGTTTTATACCTACTAATTGAAAATTACTGAAAAATTATTTAATTTTCCTAAAATCAATAAAGACGTCAAAAGTTATCATGGTAATAGAATAATTTATGTCCATAATACACCTCTACTTTGAATTGAATATACTAATAATATTGCTAGAAGTCTTGTTTTGATTATCGCTATAAAAGAGGTTAGAGATGTTATTATTCTGTATATATTATATTTATATATTATATTCACAAAGCCACATTATCTAAAATCTAAAATGTAAATTGTAATTGTATATACAAGATATGAATCATTCAAATAGTTCTTATATAGAAATTCTTATTAAGTCTTTATATTTTTAGCGTTGATTAATGATATTTTTAAATAATTTGAAGTTTACGCCTTAAAAATAAACCTTCGTCAGTATATAGATAGGCACCTACTATAGTTTAGTAAAATTGATCATAAATATGGTTATCAATACTTTTATTCTAGATTTGTACAACAAAGTGTATATAATTTTTTTAGTAAACGAATGCAAAAAGCGTTGGAAGAATATAAAGGATACGTACAATCGAAAAAAAAGAAATATGAAGATGGGAACAGGATCATCGGCTAAAAATAAACCATCAAAATGGCCTTTATCGGATGTTCTCTCATTTCTAGACGCACCATCCAATGAACGAGAGTAAGCAATAATTTCCATAATATTTGTATAGCAATCTAGGAAAATATTATTTTTAAATTAAAATAAAAGATAAAATTATATTATATATCTATAATTTAAAAACGTATAAAATGTATAATTATATTAGAATACAACATTGTTTTTATTTTCACTAATATCTATTATCTATAAATATAAAACAATATAAAAATTATTATTATTATTTTTTTTTCTGTAGAGGACTGTCCAACCTCTCAACCGATTTGAATGATAGTCGACATAGTGAAGATGATATAAGTCACAGTACTTCAATACCACATGTAATACAAGACGTACAAGAAGAAGAATATACGGAACAAGAAGAATCAGAAGAGACTACATTTAAACCGAAAAAAATAAAATTACCGCCCACAAAAAGTGCATCTAAAAAAGTTAAACAAAATGATTCGTTGGTTGAGTTACTAAATAAAGGCAATAACGAGAGAAAAAAAATTATGGAACACATTTTTAATGCAGATAGTGAAGATCCAATTGATGTTTTTTTCAAAAGCATGGCGTTGACTGTTAAACATTTTTCTCCGGCTTTGAAAGTAAAGGCAAAAATGGACATTTTACGGATAGTTAGTGAATTGGAGATGGAAAATAATCAACAAACAAAAGAAATAAAGAACCAAAACAGTGTATACGTGGATTCTTCGTGTTCTACTCGAGCTAGTTCCCAATCACTCCAGTCAGGAATTTCAACATATAATTATTCTACTACATCAAACTCATTGGAAGCAGAAAATGGATCGGTTGAAGAAAGATTGACTTTCAAACACTCTTTAAATCAGCATAGAGAACATTCTTCAAATATCTATAACAATCTTCAAGCTTTAACCTACTACGACCAATCACAGAGCAATGAATACAATGTATAAAGAGAAACCATTTTTATTACACAAAGTTTAATTTTGCAAGTTGAGAAAGTCACCAGCTCACCAGAATTAAATTATTATTTAATCATTTTTAAATTTTAATACATTTAAGTTTTTAAATATTTAGCGGCATTATATTTTACAATATGTTTAAAATGAGTTGGATAAATTATGCATATAATTTATATTAAAACATTATTTTATGTTTAGTCTTTAACTATTATAATACTATATAAAGTTGAAAATGTACTTATTTAATAAAATGCTAATACATATTTTATACTTTGGGACGACCTGTTTACCTCTGTTTACCTGTTACGACTATAAGCGACTAATATGTGACTAATCAAATTTACCTTAATGTAACTGCTAATTTTTCTGCTGGACTGATTGGTTTTTTTAATTTTATTAGTTGGATTGGAAGTTATGTCATCCTCTATCAAGTTTAACACGTAGTTAAACTGATCCCAGCTTAATCTGAAGAACTCTCGAAACTTCGTTTGGTCTTCCCATAAATGTTTTTCGATTAGTATACTAAAAAACCCTTCACTTTCCCTGGCTTGGAAAATTGTATGGGTTTGTTTTGATTTCTTTGACAGGTGATGGTGTATTAGTGCTTGTTCTTCGTCAATTTCTTGTAAACACAGTAATTCTAGTAATTGTTTTTTGCGACGTGACACCAACATGTTAAATGTTATACTAATCGACTTAGTTAAAAACAAAAAAAAGTTTAATTTTAATTTTTAAACTTTAAAAATATTAAGAAAATGTATTGATACTAGACAGAACTATCTCGGTAGGACTACAGTTATCACACTGTCGCGTCGTGCTCGTCGCTCATAGGAATTCATTCTTGCCGGCGCGGCTGAAAACAACGGTCGCGCCGCGACGCGACTATAGTCGCGCGACTACAGCCGCGCGTATAGGAATCGCACCTTAACACCTCGGGTTGGTACAACCACCAACGAAATTCCCATTGGCGCGACCGTTATAACATTATTAACAACAAAATGTATGAATCAATAATTGTGCTCGTCGTTTATACGACTTATAATATTGACCATATAATATTAAATATATTCTAATATATACAAATTAGCTATATAATATAGTTATCATTTGAACAGACGCACGAACTACTATCATAATAATAATTATTATAATGTATTATTTATATATCATAAACATGAAATTATATGATTTCATTCAGTTACGTCTCAAACTTTTTTCTTTCTGTTCAATTTCTCTTACATTTTAACATATAGAGACCCAGGTTTAATCGGATAGAGCGAGATAGCGAATTTGCGAATGTTATTATTTTGTTTAGTCTCTCATGTGGCCCAGATATAATATATATGGGAAACGTTTGCATAAAAATTAAAAAGATACCTGCTATACGATACGTTGGAGGAGGGAATATTGGTGTGGGTTTAACTATCCAAGATAAAGATATAATAATTTAATATATTTACTCTGTAGCGTCCCACCTAAAAGTTGGATTTCCATTATGGTGCATTATATGATTGCTCGCAACTCGTAGCCAGGTACTGCACGTGTAGTGATATTATCTATTATTCGACTCCACACTCGTGCATGGAAGATGGTCTTCAATTTACGATTTAATAGGTGGTTTTATAATAATAGGCAAGCCATATTGTGATGTACCGAGCACGGGCGATATAGGTACCTACTCACCATTTTCACGGCGCGTTTTATTATTGCACCAAGCTTAAATCTTGCCATTTTGGAAAATATATAGTATAATATATTATAATATATTCTATAATAATGTATTAACATAACTATGGGTCTGTGTTTTTATATACCTATTATTTTGGGCTTACTCAGACACTGCAGTTATTATTATGATCAAATAAATTAAACAAAATAATAATACAAATAATTTATATTATATATAATTATAATTTTATAATTCAATTTTTTTTTGAAAAATGGTTAGATTTAAACATTTTTTATATTTTATTTTCGAATCTTAATTTAATTATTTTAATTTGAATAATATATCGATAATAATAATAATATAGATTCGAAATATTTAATTATAATATTAATTGAAATAATTTTATGATCACATTTCCAAAGTATTGTTTTATAATTTCATTAATGATGTCATATTATTGATATATTCAAAATTTATTTATAACAATTCATATTTAATAACATAATGATAATATATTCAGTGTATTATTTTATTATTTCATTAATTATGTCATATTATAAATATATTCAAAATATCATTTAAACAATTCATATTTAATAGTATAATGATAAAACATAATGAATATCATTCTATTATTTCAGTTATGATATCATAATTATAATATTTTCATAATTTTTTTTTATAAAATGATTATTTGATAGTATATTAATATTATTTTCATAATAATATTTTCTTAATGAAAAACTGACAATTATAAAATATTATCATTACGGAATTGCTATCTGGGATTTTATGACAATTTTGTCAATCTTTTGGATTTGAAAATTTAAAAATGAATGTTATTAATTGTAATCAATATAATTATATAAATATAATTTTTTATATTACATTTTATTATATTATTAATTATTAATATTTTTTTTTGATAATACATGTTTTGAATTCTTTAGCAATCCAAAAGCAGTTTTTTTAAATCTAGGATCCAAAAATGTTGCTTTTGCAACAATCTTATTCTTTTCTAAATGCCCCAATCGCCGATTGACTACATCTATTAAGGTAGTTTTAAATGCTTCACCTATAGTAGTTTTTATTTGTACACTTTTTATGATATGTTGTAAGCCTCTAATTAACGGTATAATAGAAGAAATAGTTACGTAATTTTCTCAGCAGTCATAATCTCAAACGGTTTTAAAATATAAATGCAATCTAATATTATTTCCTATTCACACGCATTTAAACAATTAGGGGCTCGAGGAAGAGATTACATGGTAGCGGATAGTGGATTTTTAATGTCAAGTAGTCTTTCAATCATTATCAAACTCGAATTCCATCGAGTTACAACATCTTGTTTCACTTTTAATATAGGTAGGTTCATTTGTAATTGAAATTCTCTAAGTTTACCATTAGCATAATAGCTGTGCTTAAAGTGACCTACAATGGTCCTACATTTTTTCAAAATTTGAATAATATCTAGATTTCCATTTATTGCCTCATTAATACTTAAATTTAATGTATGTGCAACGCACGGATGATGATATTTGTGCAGATGTTCGTTTATAGCACTTTTTATGTTAGATCCATTGTCAGATACCATAGTTACTATTTTATCTGCTATGCCCCATTCATTAAAAATATTTTTCAGAGTAGTTGCTATATTTATACCAGTATGACTATCAAAAACTTCCCGAGTAGCAAGTACTGGTGAATATAAGTGATGGTCAAATATAAAATGACAAGTCACAGTAATATACGATTTATTACAATCCGATGTCCACATATCGGTATTATTAGATAAATCAGCTACTGTTTCAAGCATAGATTTGACGCAGACTTGTATTGAGCCGCGTGGTGTTGTGAGGTGAATAGGTGATGGTGGTGACCGACCGAGGATCGTCGGGTCGAAACAAACAAAACGAAGTGATCAATCACAAAATAACAACAAACGAAACGCACTAGTGTGACCGAGTTTTATTATTAAGAACTAAAACAAAACAAGAAAAATATACGTTCAGTATAACGGTATTTCAAAGGTATCGGGTTCACGGAAAACGTGGGTAGGTCTTTCCGTGTCGGAGTCGTGAGGACGAGAGAGCGCGCCTTGGCGATCCGGTTCGCTGGACGGCCGGGCGACGGTTCCAGGCGCGCGTGTCGCGCGCCGGCGTCGTCCGTCGTCGGTTGGCGGTTTGATTGAGAAGCCGCGGCGCGGCTTCCGCGCAAAGGCTGTTTGAATTCAAACAGATTTTGCGCGGGACCGCGTCATACTCCCCCCCCAAACCGCCAACGGCGTTGGTTTTCCGGCCGTTGCCAGCGGTCTGCGTTGTCATGAGTGGTGGGTGGTTGTGGTGGGTCAGTGGGTGGATGGTGGTTGTGGTAGACACCTGTCCGAGGGTACGTTTTCCGGCTGTGTTCAGCGGACGTAGCCCTGGCGGTGTCTAATCGCGTTTCGGCGATGTGGGGGGGCTGTAGTACAGTAGACTGACGTCCATGTCCTCTTGGTCAGCCAGGTGTGTGCCCGTACCTCCTAACAGCTGTGCCTCCTCCTCCGGGGATATTTCCATATCCTCGGGTTGAGGGGTGGCAGCCGCTAGTTGATCCGTGGCTCCGGTCGCTCCGGAAGTGTGTGTCACTTCCGGTACCGTGACCACGGTGAGGTGCGGGGACGCTGGCCCTGGCTGTGACAGGACCGTCTCTGGGCCTGGGGCTGGGGGTGGTGCCGGCTTTTCCAGGCGGTGTTGTTGGGATGCCTGTTGCTGTTTGGCCCTGTGGTGGTCCCGCTTCCGCTGCTGGTTCCGGCGTTGGCGGGCGTTCAGCGTTACTGCTGGTGGTGTTGCCGGTGCGGTTGCCGCTTGTGTCGGGGGTGGCGGCGGCTTGAAGGTGGGTGTTGCTGATGGCCTGGTCGCTGTCCTCGGAGCTGGAGCTGGCCACTCCATCAGCGGCCTTGGTGGTGGCCTCTCGGGTGCCCGCGTCAGCGTCCGTGGCTGCGACTTTTGGTTGCTGGCCGGTAGCTGTGCCACCCGTCTGGGGCTTCGCGACCTGGTGTGTCGTGCGGCCGCCGTGGGTGCGCCGCTTGTCGCCCTTTGGAACACGGCGGTGCGGTCCTCCCACCCTCGTTGGTAGGCCGCCCACAGTACCGGGTCCCGCTGGAGTTGGGCATTGGTCATCCGCCATACCCTGGCCGCCGTGGTGACTGTCGTGCCCTCCTCCAAAGTGGCTGCCCTCAGCAGCTCCTGGCTGCGTTCCAGAAGTGCCGCCGCTTGTTGGAGGGTGGAGGGTGTGGCCGGCCGTTGTGGTTGGTCCATTTGGTGGTGTGATGCTAAGCCGACTGAAATTGAGTACATAAAGATGCTATTGAGTGTTTATGGTGTGGGGGGGTTTGGGTGGTGGTTGTTGGGGCTCTGTTGTGTTCGCCCGTTTGAGGCAGGACACGTGTATTTTGCGTGCCGGCTGTTGGTCTGTGATGAACACCCCTTTGCCTACGCGTTTATGTAGTTTCACCGGTCCCCACCATTTCGGTGCGAAGCCGGCGTGAAACTTTTTGTGCGCGCTTGATAGGTGGTGTGCCTTGTAGTACACCGTGTCACCTGTTTTGTACTTTGTGTCCGTCGGGCCACCTGTTGCCGGTGGTGCGGTAAGTACATTGTTTTCGCGCCTAGCCCTGTCCATATTTATTTGTTCGATCGGGTTTTCCGCTGTCCGTGACAGTATCCAGTCCCCCGGCCTTTTGCCCTCTCTCCCGAGGACGAGTACCGACGGTGGGTATCCTGTCCGGTCGTTGCGTCTGTTCCTGATCGAAAAAAGTATGGGGGCTAATTTGGTGTCCCAGGTGTTGTGGTTGCCATTGGCGAGTAGCACGCGTAGACCTTTTTTTAATTCCTGGTTACGGCGTTCGACTGGGTTGGCCCTCGGGTGATATACCGGAGTTGTCCAGCCCTCGGCTCCCCACTGTTCGATCGCTTTACGCATATCGTTTGCTACGAACTGTGGGCCGTTGTCGCTTAAGCACACCCGGGGTATCCGAAACGTGAAAAGAATTCTCGTTCGAGCGTTTCGGTTATTGTTTTTGTAGTGGCTGTTCCAAGGGGGTATGCCTCGGTCCACCTACTAAACAAATCCGTGGCGACCAGTATATATTGTTTTCCCCTACTCGTGCGCGGGTAGGGGCCCATGAGGTCTATGCTTACCACCTCCCAGGGGTGTCGGGGTACTCTGGTGGTCGCGGGGCCGTCTGCGCGCGTGTTTAGTGGTTTGGTACACGCGCATATGTGACACGACTTGACGTACAGTCGGATGTCGTTTTTTTGTCCTTTCCAAAAAAAACGTTGTTTGACCGCCCTGTACGTTTCTTTCCAGCCCGGGTGGTTTGCGAGTACGTGATCGTGGTAAGTCCAGATCACGTTCTGCGTGTTGGTTTTTGGGATGACTACGGGTGTGTGTTCGCCCAAACTTATCCGGAGAAGACCGTCGGTAAAAATGAATTGTTTGTTTTTTCCCGAGGTACCTCCGGTATTGCGCGCTGGGTCGTCCGTTGTCATGTTGTGCGTTATGTCTCGTGTGTTGGGGTCATTGGCCTGCCATGTCACGAGCATAGCGTGTGTGATTGTGGGGTGACTAGTGGTGTTAGCCGGGTTCGTCGTGGCGAACAGATTGTCGGCCGGTGTACTAGTAGTGGTGACGAGTGGTGAGGTGGGTACTCCTACTAGTCGTTCCTCGAGGTGTTCCTCGTCTACCGGGGGCCCGGTAGTCGGGTTGCGGGAGAGCATGTCCGGCGCTTCGTTCTGTACGCCGGGCACATGCGTGGTTTTGTAATCCAGGTTGGCCAGCTGTAGTGCCCACCTGGTTAATTTTGAGTTTGTGTTTTTGGCTCGGTGGAGCCACGTGAGTGCTGAGTTGTCTGTGTATAGGTCAAACCGGCGTGCCTCCAGGTATGGTCTAAACTTATCGGTTGCCCAGATTATCGCGAGGCACTCGCGTTCTACCGCGGCGTACCTTGTTTGCGTATCACTAAACTTTTTGCTTGCGTAGGCGATTATCCGCCTTTCGTCCGGGCTGTCACCCCGTTGGAAAAGGACGGCACCCGCTCCTATCTCGCTAGCATCGGTCTGTAGGCAAAACGGTTTTCCGTAATCCGGCGTCGATAGTTTAGGCGAATCGTACAGGGCGCGTTTTATTTTGGTAAATGCCGCCTGTTCGGTTTCGGTCCACGACCATTTGGTTCCCTGTTTGAGTCTATTTGTTAGGGGCGCTATGGTGTCCGCGTAGTTGTCGACGAACTGGCTGTACCAGTTGCAGACGCCCAGGAATTTCCGTAGGTCCCTCAGCTTTGTTGGTGGGGGGTAGTTAATGATGCCCTCTAGTTTCTCCGGTTGTTTGTCTATACCGTCGGAGGTGACTAGATGTCCAAGAAATGAGATTTCGGTCGCTCCGAATCTGCATTTCTCGGGGTTGCATGTCAGCCCGTGTCTCTGTAGACGTTCAAAAACTTTGTCTAAGTGGCACTGGTGTTCATCCGTAGTGTTCGTAAACACCACTATATCGTCTAGATATACGCGGACGAACTCGTCCAGGTACCCCCTCAAGACTTCGTCCATTAGTCGCACAAAGGTCATGGGGCTGTTTTTGAGGCCGAAGGGGAGGACTCGGAATTGGTATAGGCCCCGACGCGTCCGGAATGCCGTGTATTTTCGCGCGTCCTGTTTAAGTGGTACTTGCCAGTACCCTGACTTAAGGTCAAGGACGCTGAACACTTTTGCCCCTCTCATCTGACGTATCAGCGTGTTGAGGTCGGGCATTGGGTAAGCGTCGGACTCAGTGATGTCATTGAGCCGCCTATAATCAATGCACAGTCGGGGTGAGCCGTCTTTCTTTTTTGCTAAGACGATGGGTGCGGCCCACGGGGATGTGCTTTGTTCTACCAGTCCCTGCTCCTCCATGTCCCGTATCATGGTATCGATTATGGCCTGTTTTACCGGTGGATAGGGATATGGTTTGAGGGCTATGGGTGTGTGATTTTTGAGGAGGATGTCGTGTTCTATTAACCTGGTGCGGCCTACCCTACCGTTGAATACGTCCGGATAGTTACGTACTACTTCGGCGAGTTTCGCGCGTGTGTGGTGGTCACCGTTTATTGTTAATTTGTCGACATCTAGTGCTGGGCTGGGGGTGGGTATCCGACCTTTCCAGCACGCTGTTGTTCTCCTATTCGAACCTAAATGAATGGTGCTCGTTGTGTAGTCCCAGGTGACCTCGTTTTGTACGAGAAAGTCATGACCTAGGAGCATGTCGCAGTATAAATTGTCCAGAATGGCTGCGTTGAAGGTGACCGTGAGGTCTCCGATTCTGGCTACGAATGTGGAGGTACCACTTGTCAATGTGGTGTGACCATCCGCCATTCGTACCTGGGTTTGTTGTCCGTGGTGGGGGGTGCCAAATTTTTGTGCGGTGTTCGGGCTTACATACGATTTTTGTGCTTGGGAGTCGAGTAGAGCTGTTACGGGGCCTGACCTAAATTCGAGTTCGACCGCGGGGGTCGGAATTTTGTCGGGGCATACTCGTTTAGCGTTATTCGACGTTGGTGGTGATGTATAGCTGGATAACTGGTTCTTAACCGCGATATCGGTGTTCTGGGGAGCGGTTTGCACCGCCATTACCAGAGCATCCGTTTCGGTTACCTCTGTGCTATGTGTATGTACTGTATGTGTACCTGTTAATTTCGTAGTAGGGGTCGTTGATGCGGACCTTTGGGGTGCCGCGTGGTGTGGTGATGGTGACCTGCTACTTAACGAAATTGTTGATGTTTGGACGGGTGATATATGTGAGGACGCCGAGTTTATCGATGCGCGTTTGATGGTTATATCCCCGTCTGTAATGCCGAACGTTGTGTGTGGTGGCGTGGTGGAGGCGGCGGCGTGGACAGGTGTCCGCCGACTCATTTCCCGTTTCCCGAACGCGGTGTGTTGCCGGGGCAGTCACTGTTCCAGTGAGGACCTCCGCAGTATCTGCACGGGTTGGGCGGTTGCGATTTGCCGGCGGTACCGTCCCGTGTTCGCGTTTGTTGCGTTGGTTGGGGCGGGCGGGTTTGGGAAAATTTTTTTTGCGCCGGTTTCGGCTGTGGGTGTGTCGCTGGGTCGTCAGGTGTGTACTCCAGGACTCCAGCGATCCGGCGGAGGTCTCCGAAAGTCGCTGGTCTTTGCAATCTTATGTGCGTGCGGTATTCGTTGCGCGGTAGTCCGGCTATCGTGCCTACTAGCTGTGTTTCAGATAGTCCGGTATTGACGCGGCGGGCAAGTTGATTTTTTTGCGTTACGAATTCCGTTAGCGATTGCGTTGGTGTTTGTCGGACGGATACTATCTCTGCCCGCAGCCGTGACTGAATTTCCACGTTGTCGAATTTTTGTAAAAATTCGGCGCGGAACTCGTCCCAGGTGACGTCCAGTAGTCTGATGGTGTTCCACCAGGTACTGGCTGCACCCTTTAGCTGCTGTGCGATAATATTTGTCCAGGCCGACCTATCTATACGCGTTTGGTACATTATCGACTCCGCTTTATGGATAAATCTTGCCGGGTCCTCAGGTGTTGTCCCGTGGTACTCCGGCAGCGAATGTCTCGCTGCACATACGTCGTCGTATGGTATCAGCGTCGATTGTTGTGCCGCGTAGGTGTATGTGGAGGAGGGGGCATGGTGTATGTTTGTTGTGTCGTCGAAACGTACTGAATGATCGGCGCGGTGGTTACCCGCGGACGGTGGTTCGCGTGCCGCGGGGTACCTCGCTCCGTATTCCGTGTTGTTCGTTGACACTGAGTGGTGTGGGCGGATCGGTGGGGTTGCATCCGGTTGCTGTTCCGATGCTTGGCGTGCCATACCCATCTCTAGGCGTCGCATTGTCTCTGCAATGCGACGTTGGTCTTCGCCAAAGCGGGCCATACAGTTCTCGAGCATGGTCAGTCGTGATTCCAGACCGCAGCCATGCGCCGAGTTCTCCACCGCTTGCCGTACCTCGTTTATTATGGTACGACCCGTTTGGATCATATCCATAGTTTGTTGGTGTGTGGGTGTGGTAGATGGTTGGGGTGTTGTGTTGTTGGTGGTGATCTGGGGTGGGGCGTGTGTTGTCTCGATCTGTATTTGCGCGGTTTGACTGGCGTCGGGTACCAGACCTGTGGCCGAGCTCTGTCCGGTGTGCCCAGTGGGTTCCATAGGCGGGAACCGGATTTCGTTGGCCTGCAGGTTCATGTCCGCGAAATGTTGTGTTAATCGGATTTCGAGATCACCCTTCGCTCCCGTATCCGTTAAACCGCGCTGTCCGCATTCGTAGCGCAATTCCGCGGCGGTCAATTCATTAATATATTTTCCCGGCATGACTTCCGGTTGGTTTTCCGGTGTTGTTGACGAGAAATTATAAAATGTGGCTGTTGTCGTTGGAACGGGTATCGCGTTCCTTCGATCAGCTGTGTTGCCCGCTTATCGGTGTTTATTTGCGTACGGAATGTAGGTCAGTGGGTTGTTATTGTTATTGTTGCGCTTGCCGGGCGATCACAGTAACCGGTCTTCGCAGAGTGTTTTCGCGGATGCGCGTGTGTGCGTTATCCGGTGCACTACTGCGATTAGGGAAGGCGGCGGCTGTCGCTTTAAGCGGCGGCGGCGGCAGTCCGATTACGTGGTATTTTTGTCCCGGGTAATCGCGTGTTGACGCTGGCGGGTGGTGGTGCTAGGCGGTGGTGGTGTGACCCTCTCGCGCTCTTGCGTTCCTACCTAATGCCTACCTACGTCGTGTGTGTTTGGTGCGTCGCGCGCGGTGCGGTCGGTGCGTCCGTGAGTCGGGCGGCGCGGCCGGTCGTTACGTCCTTTATGGTTATGTAATATATTACGTAACGCCGGTTTTTCCGTTACCGCCTGCAAACCACGTTTTTTCCGGATCGCGTTGGTGACTTTTTTCCAAAACGTGCAACGGGGGTTTGTTTGGGGGTGGTAGTATGTGGTAAGAAAGTTTTCACTTACCGGTGATTCCTGTTCGGGGAGCCAATTTGACGCAGACTTGTATTGAGCCGCGTGGTGTTGTGAGGTGAATAGGTGATGGTGGTGACCGACCGAGGATCGTCGGGTCGAAACAAACAAAACGAAGTGATCAATCACAAAATAACAACAAACGAAACGCACTAGTGTGACCGAGTTTTATTATTAAGAACTAAAACAAAACAAGAAAAATATACGTTCAGTATAACGGTATTTCAAAGGTATCGGGTTCACGGAAAACGTGGGTAGGTCTTTCCGTGTCGGAGTCGTGAGGACGAGAGAGCGCGCCTTGGCGATCCGGTTCGCTGGACGGCCGGCCGACGGTTCCAGGCGCGCGTGTCGCGCGCCGGCGTCGTCCGTCGTCGGTTGGCGGTTTGATTGAGAAGCCGCGGCGCGGCTTCCGCGCAAAGGCTGTTTGAATTCAAACAGATTTTGCGCGGGACCGCGTCAGATTTTAATTTGGAGTATATAATATCATATTCTTGTGGTAATAATTTGGTTGTAAGTTGTTTTCTACTGGGGACAAAATACAGAGGTTGTAACTTTTTAGTATACTCTAAGAATCCAGCGTTCTCTACTATCGAGAGTGGCTGATAATCAAAAACTATCATTTTAATTAAAGACTTATTAATTTCATTGGTTTCAATTTCTGTTAATCCAATAGTTTTTTTTTGAACCATAAAGTGTAAGTTGACGAGATCGTTTAGAAGGTGGCTCAGAACACTGTGAAGAAGTAGTAGTCTGATATGGCAATAAAGAGGAATTTGCAGAAGTAGTTGATTTAGATATATTTTGAGCATCTTGTAATTGATTATCCGGATCGTCGTTATTAGTTTCAATTGGATTAAGTGTTTTTGGGTGTACTCGTTTTAAATGCTCTATTTTAAATTTTTTTAAAGTAGACTAATATTAATATTAATATTAATATTATTATATAATTTATTTATTATTAATCATTGTATGAATATTTATATAAACCAATCCACACATCCAACGCTTTATCACCAAACTAAACGTGAAATAAAATCAATAAGTAATAAATAATATAGAAAATAATAAAACAATTAATAATAATATTTAAATAATAATTAGACCAGGTATCATACTGGTCAACCAAAGCTGCATAATATGTATGGATTCGTCTTAATAGTTTAAAATAAAATGTAAAATAATACCTTTTAAGTTACTTGTATTCCCATAATGTTTAAACTCTTTTTTACACACCTGGCAAATAACAATTTTTCCGTCGGCATCTTTTTTAAAATGTTCCCATACTATTGAACGTTGTTTACTACCCGGCCTCATTTTTAAATTTTAAAAATAAATAATTTTTAATAAATAGGTCTTAACTAAAGACTGATGAACAGTTAGTGAACAGTGTCGACTGTTAACGCGTGCTAGCGAGTACAAAACTACAAAATGACATAATAATATATATTAGAATGAATATGGTTATCTTAGTTTTATTAGGAAAATCGACTATAAATAGTACAAAAATACTAGGAATTTCGAACCACAGCGAATTAGACAACTTCAACCTCTTATCTGTGCGGAGGCCCAAACACAAATGGCTTGTTGTAGGCTGGTTTTATTGGGAGAGGTCAGAAAGTAATATATATGATGTGGACCTCAGTAGTCGAGTTACTATAGTTCGAGTGAAAAATCACTCGGTTACATAATCGATTATTACTATCAACAATCGAGTAACTCGATTATTTTCACTCGATTATGCCCATCACTACTAAAAACGTTTTTGTCTCATGAATGAAAAATGTTCATGCCACCACTGTGCCCTAGAAACCCAGTCGTGTTTTTAACGTTGTACCCCTTCATTTGTGATATTTATTCCTTTTGATTACTTTTATTTTAATTTTTTTATATTTACCAAATAATTATGTGTCGTATAATTCTCGAAGACGACATCTCACCTAACGGACGAACTTTGCAAAATGCGTAAGTGTTAGTAATTTTAAATTATTTTGATATATAATTATATACCTATACATATTTTTTTATTCAGTGAGATAATTGAGCCGCCGATCGTTCGGTCAGCTAACCCTGACACAATTATTTATTTAAGACGGTTGTACCATGACTATTCACTTATCCAAAATTCAGGCGAGAGGGCTAGGATATGGTCAGCACATGCGAGATCGCTTTCTCGACGGTGTAATATAGAATTGAGAGTTCTCAGTATGTTGATGCGTGAAAGTCACTATGATCGTTCGATTCCTAAAGATGAGATTATAGTAAGTTTAAATATACGAATTTTCAAATATTGTAGATAATATGATTAGATTTACTAATATCAGTTAATTTATTATAGATTCAATTATCGTTTCGTGTGTTATTGCGGTCATCTAGAACTATCCGTAGGCATACCCAGTATTATATTATTATGTAGCTAGTTTACGGATTCAGAAGAATAGCGATTTTTGATTCAGAACGTGTTAGGGATCAAATAGAAATGCATTGGACGATGAATGTGATGACCATTCTATCATATTTAAATTTTGACTTTCACACTTCTCGTTTTATTCTACATAGAATAAGAAACCTGAACTAAAAATCAACTAATAAATAATATTTTCCTTATAACCATACATCAGTTTATATTATTTCAGAAAAACTATATGCTCACTATCTTTACTCACATAATATCTATTTTCACCTAGCATCGAGTTTCTCAAAAGTCTAAATAGATGAAAATATTTAAAAAAAAAAAAAAAAAAAACTACCTACTTCAACAAACAATATGTTTGAGATCAACGGACGGTCGGTACCTTACCCATGTGGCTGGTCGATCAGTGTGTATCCAGTCTTTTGTCCGGTGTACACACATTTTGCGTTTACAGTTTTTCTCAACAGATATTCAGATACCGATTTATCTACTTATATGAGATTTTTATTTATCATAGTAGGTATTTATAATTTTTATATTTCGTTTGTGATAATCATCACCGGTAAAAATGTGAGTATTTTGTTTTATATTATTCGTAAGATATTTTAAGAATTATGTAGTAAGGAGAAAATATACGGGGAACAAATTAGTTGTAAGGGGGAAATAGGCGGTAGGGGAAGGTAATGGTTATAGGGGAGAGATATGTGTGTTATAATAAATATTGGAGATTTCCGCATATGATCTCCCTACTACTGTGTTGTACCTAACTGCCTAATGATATTTGAATTACCTACTTTTGTTATATAAATATTCAAACACTTACCTCACTGGAGCTGGTTTTCTTCTAAGTGTTTGTAGTCCTTCGGGGTCGTGTTCGACAGTCGATATCACGATGACAATATATGTATATTATTTTATGTGATCTGTAGGATTTCCGAAATCCTACAGATCACATTTCGTATACAATTTCTACCTGTGACCGTCACCATATATATTCTCAAAATCCTTACATTCGTAACAGGAGTACGTATACTCTCTCCGCTAACCGAATGTAACTTAAAGTGTTAAATATTTGTTGTTACACATTTATATCTTGAACACAGCTCTTAGAATTCCTACATTCGTGACAGCTAGTACGTATAGTACTATAGTCCAACCGCCGACCGAATGTAATTTAAGTTAAGAGGCCGTCCTAGTAAAAGTGAAACGAATTAACTCTTTTGAAGAATTATTTTAATATTAGTTGATTTAAATTACCATAATTTTAAGGTTTAAACTAAAGGATTATTTGGGTAATCAAACTTGTTTTAATCATATTATGTTTATTATATTATCTTAATTGTTATACATTTTAAATTAGTTTCTACAGTTGTTATATTTGTTTTTTACCTACATTTTATTTATGTTATATAACTTACTATTGGCAATACAGATTAACAAGACGCGCTCTGGGTGATACAAACGGTACTACATAATGGCCGCTCGAGTTGGAATTCGAGTCTTGAATACTTAAGAGGCCGTCCTAGTAAAAGTGAAACGAATGCAACGCTCAAGAGATGGCGTTGTGCTCCGTATCGCCGCCGTCGCGGTAGGCCGTAACCACGCCCATCGTGTACGCGACGGGGCCCGCTTGTTGTAATCGCGCGAGAGGTACATTATTATTTCACGGACGGTCGTACAGGACGTTTCGCGTCATTACAGACCGTTGCGTAAATTGTCGCCTATGAATTCTACATGGTGCGCTGCCTCCTAGCTCATACGTCGCAAACCTACTTTTTAATTAAAGATCCTGTTTGCATAAAAATATTAAACAATGAATTAAGCATAACAATTATTATATTCCATAACTCGATTTATATTTCTAACCCAATTATCTACTTTTTAAAATACAAGTAAAATAATAATTTCATTAGAATTAAATAGATTTTTTAGTAAAAGTGTAACGTATTTTACGTTGTAACTTATAAGTTACATGAAGCAATTTTTGTACGATAATTTAATCTACTAAATAAATATTAGCTACATTTTAAATAGTTTTGATTATATAGTTAATATTGATGTATTTTCTTATTTTAATTTTAAACATATAATACATATAATATGAAGTTGATGTTGTCCATAATGTTTATTAAATAAATATAAATAAAATAATATATTAATTATATAATTGCAATTTGTAGTACCTATGTAAAAAAAGCAATCTGTATAAACTAAACATGTTCATTGATCATAATATCATATAATGTATATAAATTAAAATTAAATTATGTACAGACCACATTTGTTATACATAATAGTTAATTGAAACAAAACATTTAGACTAATGACAATTTATTATAATTGATAACTTAAATTAATGGTATAGGTAGCGTAGATAGTGTAACTGACATATATTATATTCTATACTCTGTTCAAAATGAGATGATGACTCGGCGGCGACCAATTTTCGTCGGGCGGCGGTCAGATATATGGTCAGACGCTGTCCCCACTACGGCGACGCGTCGTTCGCTGCAATGGAACAAAGCCACGCCCATGCGCACAACTTGGCCGCCGAGTCATCATCTCATTTTGAACAGAGTATAGTATACTACCTATGCTTTTATTTTATGAAATATCATAATATGTACATTATATTATCTATATGTAAAAATGGCATAGGTAGTAAGTTATGCATGTAATAATAAAATAAAATATAATAAATAATATTATGCCCTTAGAATTTTACATATTTGTTTTGCGATGTAATAAAAAAACAATTATAGTCCCATGTAAAATTAATTTGTAGGTATATAAGTTAAATAAATAAATATATTAATAAATAAATATGATACAAATATTTGTATTACTTAGTTTTAAAATAATAAATAAAAATGGGTGCAAATATTTAATATTAAATATTTTTAATTTTTTAATTTTATGGATTTAAACCATTAAATTTGGATAAATATTGACTTTATTATTATGAAGCTGAACATTTTTTCTTTCTAAAGAGTCTTCATCAAACTCTTGATTTTTATTGTAATTATTGTGTTTATGAGACCTTAGTATTACATTATGAGTAATGCTAGAAAAAAATCCCGCTAGAAGCTTTGTACTCCACCCAAAGGTTTGATATAAAAAAGTAATATTAATACCTGTGTCAACAAGTGTTAATATTAATTTTGCAACAAAGAATATACCCATTAGCCCAGACACAAAAGTTCCAATTGTCGTAAACCAACCCCATAATTTAAATAGCTTATCTTCTACCATTTTTCCAAGCGTGTTTTCGTCTATCAAATATTTAAATTGCAGACCTTGATTAGTCGTATCATATCCCATAGATTGTCTGATTAAATTATTTGTGGCAGCTTTCACTTCTTGCGGGAACAATATATGCTGTTGAAAAGCTTTCATTGTGTCCTTTGTATATATACCGGCATTCATAAGAAAATCCGGACTTTTGTACGACCATGTCCAGGACGTGGCTGGTTTAAGCTTTTGTGGTTTCTTAATTTCTTGTATGTTTGGTAGAATGGCAAACCAATCACCGCCCAATTCGAATGCAGGTGGTAGAAGTACATTGCAGTCTACCTGTGTTCCAAATTGTTGTAAAATATGTGTTTTGGGCGCCATAAATAATGTTTTGTTACCTATTGTATAACACTGGTAGTTCATTAAAACAATTTTTTTTTTTGTGATATTTCAACGTTAACTTTTTTGCATTTTATTAAATAAATTATTTCACTGACTTTTATTGCCGTGAACCCTGGTCCACCGCCCATTAAATACGCAAACTCCGAAAGACTAGAAGGCGCTAATGTGAGTCGTTGCTCTAGTAATTTTCTCTCTAGCTCACATTGTTTTAGTATTAAATCATTGTACAACGATGTAATCGTTGATTTAAAGAAATTTTCGACATAGA